ACAATGGGTGGCTGACTAAATACTTTTTTGCCCCACTGTAAGTTTTAAAAAGCAAACAAGTTTTTTTTTTTTTTTTTCTTATTTGACTTTAATCATAACAGTCTTAATAGATTGTTTAATTTTTGCCCCCTTATCTTGAATTTTGGTGGCATTTTTGCCCCAGGCCCCCCTTAATTTCCATCCCTGAAAACCACTTTGCAGAGGCATGAACTTTATGACTATGGCCAGGGATTGTGATTTCACTCAGAAGTGAGAAGTAAAAGTACACATTGTAGTAGTGTGTGCTGATTTGCACTATGTTCATATTACAATATATTACGGTTTACAAACAAATTGAGCTCAATGAAATGCTAACGTCTCTGATATTGCTGGCACTGAAAGAGTGGGATATGAGTTTTATGTAATCTCCTTGTTTGAACAGAGACGAGGCTCACAGAGAAGCCTTTGTTTAAAGTCCAAGTGAGAGCAGGGAGAAAGTGAACATCAGGTTACTTACAGCTTTAGCCTTTGATATTTCCCGCTTAACAACACTTATCAATATCTGTGTAAATGATTAATTCAGCTTTTTTCTTTTTAATCTTTTTTTTTGTAGAGGTCGTCTGCTTCATGGCCGTCATTTCACATATAAAAGCATTAATGGAGACACGGCAATCACCTTCGTATCCACTGGGGTAGAAGGGGCCTTTGCCACAGAAGAGCATCCGTATGCTGCTCATGGACCATGGTTACAGGTAACAGACATGCAGACACTATTACATCACAAAAAATGGCCTGGTGGTGAGTACATTTTCAAGAGATGTTTCATTTTTGGTTGAACGATTTCTTTAAGTTCAGTGTCGTTCCATGTGTGTGACTTTGTTCTGATCCCCTCAATTTAGATACTACTTACTGAGGAGTTTGTAGAGCAGATGCTAGCTGACGTTCAGGATTTGAGCACCCGTGACGTGGTAAGATTTTAGACCTCACATTAAGATATTTCACAGGTTTTGTAAACTTCTCAATGTTTTTAACATGCTATGTATCTCTTTACCCTCTCACCCAGTCTAAGCTGCCGAAGGAGTACAGCTGGCCCGATAAGAAGATAAAGATCTCTGTCCTGCCAGACACAGTGTTTGACAGCCCACTGCAATAAGACTGGGAGCACACTGTCCCTGATTACAAACCCACATCTACAGAAAGGAGCTCAACTCTTTTGCCAGGCTCATGTGCCTACAGACGGCTGAAGGAAACAGACATTCAGACACTTCCCCTTTTCCCAGAGAGCATCGTAGATGATTGCACATGACACAGAACATTTTGTACATGTACAACATTTTGTATGTCCGTTATACCACTTGTCTTTGCATTGGTCTGCCTATTCACTCTTAAGGGAAAAAATGGTGATTTGATGTTTTTTTTGTTTTTCTGGTCTCCGTAAAAAAAAAAAAACATTTCTTGTTAAACGTTTAGCAGCACGAGACAATGTGCAAGCACCGGTGCCTTTATTCACCTTAGAATGGACTGAAGTTACATACAGAAAATGTGCTTTTCTAAATCCTGCTTGTAATGTGAAGGAAAGCATAGAAAGCATGCTTTTAAGTATGTTTATCAAAAACAAATCTGGTTTTACCTGTTTTTACTAATTTGCATATATAAAATACAGCTGTGCTTATTTAAGGTTGATGATATTTCATAAGGTCTTCATTTAGTTTGGTCAAACAATAGCTGGTTAGTCAGTTCACCTTCACAATACCAAAGCCTGTACAGAATGGGTGTTTTCTAAACCTCATGTCAAATGTAAAGTTGAGAAGCACGAAATAGTTCCCTGATCTTTCTTTTGTTGATTTTTGTCAACTATTTTACTTGTATTGAACTTCACTTCATTTGACTTTATGATTGCATTCCGAGCCTCTTTATAGCGAAGCAAACTAACTGGTTCCCGGACAGTAATCTACTTTCTAGAATGTGCATTTGTTATTTTTGGGATGTGTGCACAATAATATAGGTCAAAGTTTAAAAAAGAACCTCTATTAGTGCTTTTAAAAAGATGAATTTAATTAGTGTACTGGCATTTTTTTTTTAATATTCTGGAGAATCACTACACTGCCTGTGGTTTTGTTGCCCTTAAGTGCATTAAAGTTATTTACATAAATCGGGATGTCTGTGTTGATTTTGACGACACAACCTGAAAAAATGCCATGCTCCACTTTTGCAAATTAAATAATACAGGATTTTCTGATGACAACCAGGCACTCAAATTCCTCATAGATAACCAGCAAGTCTGCCTCTTGACTACTGTAGAATTATAATCTCTGTATTTTGATTCTGTCTCTTTAAGATCCCAATGTAAATTCCCTCTTTGCATGTGGAATAAGTAACAGCATTCTGGTGGGCTGGTGAGATAATAGATGGTATATTCAAGCACAGTTGTTCAGTTCTAAAACCCAGAAGCCTTATGGGTTCCAGTTCCAATGTTTACATGACATTTTTTATTTTATTTTATTGTAAATTGAGGTCTGTGGGTAACATTCAACTCATTAAGAAATGACATGCCAACTACTGTAAATTACATGCACCAACTCCTCAAACATAAATTCTGAACCAGCTGTGTTTTTAAAAAGGTGAGTTGCTAAATAAATATATATATTTTTTTCCTCCAAATAAATAATTGAATGTTCCTGTACGTAAACACTTCTTAAGCCATCGCTATTGGGGAAAAAATGGCTTATTTACTGGAGAGAAACTGAATTTAGACATTTGACAGCTCTCAAAACACTAGAGATGTGTCCCTTTAAATCAAACCCCGCCCCTGCTTAATAACTCCTCCCACTTTTATGTATCAAGTCCGCGCTGATCACGTGACCAGGGAAGGGGGAGTATGTGAACTGTATCCTGAGTTGCAGTCCTGTGCCTGCGTTCCTCTCATCTAGGATTAGCTTGAAAGGGGGGGGAAAAAATCATAAATAATAACAGACGCAGATTGGAATACGGCGCTGAAGCATCTGTTTTCAATCAGGACTAGCGTTTTAAAGGACGTGATATCCCTGGGTGACCGCAGAACTGGATCTGTTTGCTTTACGTGAGCCGTCTATATAAAGGACATACAAACGAGAGGGAAAGTAAACAGATACGTCGTTTTTAATTCGCGTTAAACAGGAAAACGCGGGCTGATGAGCGATAACAAGGGCCAAACGATATCGTCTCCTTTAAGAGCAACAAAGGTATCTGGCTTTAATACATGAATATTTTAAGCGAGTTCGCGTCGTCAAAATAAAACACAAGTCATTAGGCTGTAAAAATGAACGCGATCCGTCTCTGGTAAGTGCGGCCAGGTAAACATCAGGCGAAACATGGACAGGGATCAGGTTGTGGATCATTCTGTAATGTTTAACCAACACAGATAGCGAGAGAATAGCTCTGCTGATGATAAAATCGCAGCTCTTTGTGGTTTAATGCTTCGAGAGCATGTTGGCATGCATGCATACGCGTCAATTGTACGTTCGTTCAAAGTCGTGTCGCTATAATAGATAAAACAGTCTTTCTAGCTTTACCGGCTGCCTCTCTTATAGTTGTAGGGGACAGAAATCTGATCGATATAGTGCTACACGAGCAGCACAGAGGCTCAGGTCTACTCTATTATAATTCCAGCAGGGCAAATGTCATGTGCCTGGCACAAATCAAATGCGTGATCGGCTGCTTCAGTGAATGACTGGAAGTTACAGCTGCTTACGAAAGGACGTTTTCAGCGCAACTTCCTGTTTTAAACGACGATATGACATTTACATGTGGATTTAACTGATCCTATCTCGACTGACACTGGATGTTACACGATGTCGTAGCCTTTAACCAGTAGTTTAGTTATCTTTCAGCGGATAGTCAGGCATCTGTCACGGAGACATTTACCGCGTGCTCCGTCTGGCTCTGGGGTTTGATTTGGGTGCAGTAATTGGAAATAGACTGATAATTGGTTTGACCGATGCTTTTTTAACATATTCAAGCTTCTGCGCGTTTATCGATGCGTTTTGACCGATTAATGGCACCATTTACGGGGTCTCTGAAGAATAGGGTAAAAAAAGTAAAAATTTTTAATATGGTTTGGATGTTTTTTTTAAATCCTAGTCATTCATTCTGAAGGGAGTTCATGTTTAGCTTTACAATCAGAAAATAAATGTGCCACTATTTGGATCACAAACTACTTTGCATAAATTAAATTACTATTATTACTGGTGTAATAAACAATTCATTACTGCGTATTATGTTTTTATGTAGTTGTCAGACTATCAAAAGCTATTAAAATCGGATGTAAAGTTCGTAAAAGGAACACAATGGTTAGAATGATTTTTCATAATAGCATTTTAAATTAGTCAAGTCATTTTCGCTCGCCCTAAACTATTACCATAATTAGTTAGTGTTCTTTTTTTATGGTTATCATTTGTGGATCGATTGTCGAAGTTTCTCTCGTTAAAAAAAGAAACCCTGGACGTCAGATTCCTTCTTTCACGCCCGGCTGTGGTATTTGATTGCTGACTAACTTTGCCAGGAGCAGAAACGCTCCCTTGGCATGTTTGGGTCTGATCGGCAGCTGTTTCTCTGGGGCTTCTGTGCTCGTATGGTCTTCATCGACTGACCTAGCACCTGGATCTAAATGAAAGAGTCGCGAGAATGAGCGAAACCTTGTTGGGACGGTGCTAGAACTTGATGTTTTCCTTCCGCGAGCGGATCAACTCAAAACTGGATGTCTGATCAACTGGTTGAGATGGCTGAGAACTGGCGGAACTGCTTCGAGGAGGAGCTCATTTGTCCCATTTGTTTGCATGTGTTCGTGGAGCCCGTGCAGTTGCCGTGCAAACACAACTTCTGCCGGGGCTGCATCAGCGAGGCCTGGGCCAAAGACACGGCCAACGTGCGCTGCCCCGAGTGCAACCACGCGTACAATCAGAAACCCAACCTGGAGAAAAACATCAAACTGACTAACATTGTAGAGAAGTTCAACGCGCTGAACGTCGAGAAAGCTCCGGCCGTGCTGCACTGCATTCTGTGTAGGCGAGGGCCTCCTCTGCAAGCGCAGAAAGTGTGTCTTCGTTGCAATGCACCGTGTTGCCAGTCTCACATCCAGACGCATCTCCAGCAGCCCTGTCCCGCTCCTGGACACCTCCTGGTGGGGGCTGAGGAGGTGCGGGCCTGGAGCTGCCTGCACCACGATGAGTACAGACTCTATCACTGCGATGCGGAACAGGTGGCGGTCTGCCAGTACTGCTTCTTCTCCAGATGTGCGCCCAACCACGGCCACGCGGTGTGCGACGTGGAAGTGCGACGCATTGACATCAGGGTGAGTGCTTGACCTTCTCTGTAGGGGTGCAAGGAGACTCCTCCTGCATCAGGGACTGAGCACACTTACTGTGGATTCATTTAACCTGGTTAACTCGTGTCAGGGGTTACAGCCCTGTTACATGCGTGACCCCCTATCTATGGAAGTGGTGTATTACCATAATAAACTTTGCTAACATAGAATAATTAATTCAAATACATGGTTCTCTAAATTTCTTTTGAGGGAGATAAGATATTCAGTGTGAAAGCGCATTAACTGTGCATATTAAACTCTCGATGAAACAGAAGTAGCAGCAGATTTTTTTCTTTAGTGTTTTGGAGTACATTTGAGTGAAACGGATAAGGGGGAAAAATGAGGGCGGGGTTTAATCATTTGTGGTTGGATGGAGGCAGACGGATGATTGGAGAGATCCTGCATACGTCATCAAAGAGAATTCTGTTGTTTCATCGGAAGATGGAGTTATGACGTTTTTGATTGAAAATGACAAGGATTCAAAATTTGATTCAAAACTAAACAAATGTATTGTATGCCTAAATTAATTATTAACACAAGAAGATCATAAAGTGTTTATAGTTTCAATGAACATTTCACTTAAAACTGAAACCGAGATTAAAGTTTTCATATAGCAAACCCCGAAAATGAAAATTCAGTCGTGTTTTCAGTCATTGTTAAGATATTTGGCAACAAACTGCCTTTCTGTATTTCAGTCAAACAAATTTTACGTATTGCTACTCTAGCGTAATTTTTGGTCAGAAGTGCATCAACACTGCTGACAGATTTACCTGTTGTAGATCATCCATGTTATGTGCATGAAATTGACACTGCCATTGTCAAAACACTTTATCAGAGAAGTACAAAATAAATGTCACTGTTTGGGCCAATGGTTTCAGCCCTCCAAAACTATTTTGGCCAAAACCGTAAATTCATTTTTTGGTGTTTCAGCCAAATATTTTTGGTTGACGAAATTGCTTATTTAAACAAAATGTCAGAAAGGTTCTGAAAGCTGGTTTGAAAGACTATTCTTTTAATATAATTATACTGTAGGAAATGTGTTTATTTAGTAACGTTTCATTGTCCGTATTTATTATTCATTTATTCTGTAGCAATAAATATAGTAGTAAGAGAAAGTACTTTTCTTTAGTAGAAACTAATATATTTACACTGTAACACTGTGAAAAATGTTGGATTAATGAGGAGCAAAATTTTGCCTATAGCAAAAACCTCAATTAGACAACCAAAGTACTGAGGACTTGAAAGGACTGAACTTTGTCTCTCTAATCAGTTTCATGATTTTTTCATCATGAGCGCACTTATTGGATATGGATGGGGTGAGAAGTGAACTCCCTTTCAAAGGCTGAAGCAATCACTTCCTCTTGAAACATTAGTTGTGCTGGAACATGAGTTTTGTGCTACCATTCCTAGTTACTTCTGTCATATCCTGAGTCTCTCTGCCCTGTCAGCCGAATGTTAACGCCGGTATAATGAGACTGTCAACACTCCTCAGAGCGAGAAATATCGGGACTTCTGCTTTATTAAGTTGACTAATAGCCTCAAAGTGAGTTAGAACAAGTGTAAAAATACTAGCATAGTAAATTTATGCTAAGAATTTTTTAAAAAATGTATTTACACTGTAACACTGTGAAAAATGTTGGATTAATGAGGAGCAAAATTTTGCCTATAGCAAAAACCTCAATTAGACAACCAAAGTACTGAGGACTTGAAAGGACTGAACTTTGTCTCTCTAATCAGTTTCATGATTTTTTCATCATGAGCGCACTTATTGGATATGGATGGGGTGAGAAGTGAACTCCCTTTCAAAGGCTGAAGCAATCACTTCCTCTTGAAACATTAGTTGTGCTGGAACATGAGTTTTGTGCTACCATTCCTAGTTACTTCTGTCATATCCTGAGTCTCTCTGCCCTGTCAGCCGAATGTTAACGCCGGTATAATGAGACTGTCAACACTCCTCAGAGCAAGAAATATCGGGACTTCTGCTTTATTAAGTTGACTAATAGCCTCAAAGTGAGTTAGAACAAGTGTAAAAATACTAGCATAGTAAATTTATGCTAAGAATTTTTTAAAATTTATTGTCAGAGTGCTTGATTTGAAATGTTCACTGCAAATGCCACCTACACATCTTTTCTTCTTTCCTGTGAGACTGATTGCCAAATAGCAGAAAGAAATGATGAGCTTGTCCATAAAACAGGCTTTACAAAGTAGAACTTCACAGAGGAATACTTATCTTGTTTGCTTTATAGATGAGACTATTTACATAGACTTATCATGTTAAAAATGTTTTATATCTCAACATCAAGCTCTTCAATACTGGAAAATTGAACGTCTGATAATCATATACTAGCAAATACATACAGTGGGGTCCAAAAGTCCACTTAAATTGATGTAACTAGAGAAATGTTTCAGATTTCTAGGTAGGTAAATGTGTGACATTGATCATGTGAATCTTTGTCCAAATGGTCAGATGTTCTTCTTTCATTGAAGCTCTTTGGATCATCTTAAATCATGCTGGACAACATGATCATCAGGTTTTACGAAAACTTAATGCAGCTCAAGTGTGGCTGCCATTTAGGCAAAAAAGACGATTAGAAATTCATGTTCACTTTTCAGTTAAATCTTTACTCAAATTGTCATGCTGATAACATCATTTGTAAAGGGAAAGAATTTTGTACTTTGTAAAGACATCTTTCTATTTTTATTTCCTGCATTTATTTGTTTTGATCCCCAAAGCTACTTATTAAAGCTCGTTTTACCTATCAATTAAACTGTGATGGATATGCTAATGAGAAAATTAGCTGGGACATTCTGCAATGTAGGAGTGTAAAAAACACGCTGTTCCTTCAGCTGCCTCCCAGAATAATGAACTGTTGTGAGGTGAGCTGCTGCTGGACTTGGCAGGGACGACTTCTGGATGCGTGGAGGAATGCTTTTTAGATGGCCAATGTGTCATGGCTCCTAAAGCAGCCAAGTGTCTGTAAAAGGAGGGGGAATGAGAGGGAGGAAATGGACTCAAGGCTTGCTCTACCCACAGCTGCTGTTGAAAGACACACACACATCCCTCTGTTCTTTCTTTCGCAAGTGCATAAATTTAGAGAGTGTGACTCAAGTGGTCCCACAGTAAAACTGCCTGGCCTTCTTTGCTCCCTCGCATCTTGTTCAGGAATAGGACGTGGGTTCCAGGCAGACACAGGAAGGGAGTGACCTCAGTTCCCTCTCTGCTCCGTTCCCAATTATCCGCCTCCTGTTCGCAGGATGACATCATGGGAGATCCGATAAAGGATCACCCCGCTATCTCTTTCCCCACTTTTTTATGACAGGAGTCTGCTTGAAACCCGTTTACTCTTTTGGACAGTCCAATGACATTCACGCTCCATAATATAACCCCTGTGTTTTAAATATAGGACACAAGCAGTGAGGAATTATGCGTGGATGCCTGGCTCAGCCCACATTTGACCATTTTCTGCAAATTAGTCATGCTTTCAGTTGGATTCATTCGGAATGTAATTGTCCTCCAGATTTTGCTCTAGAAAGACTTGAAAATTGATTGTGGTGTCGCTGAATAATTTGAGAGGCCATTCTTATCACACCGCTGCACGCAGGCAAGCCCGGACAGCGTTATTTGACTCTCGCAGTCGGCCTTGAGAAACGTTCAGTACAGTCGGATGACTTCAGATGTTTGGAATCACAGTCATATTATTGTGAAAGTGGTGAATACCATTCACTCTTTGCACCTGTGACATGTAAGTTCTGCCTAGGATCACATAAACACGTAATCATTTGGAGAAAAGTGTTCTGGAATGAACTGCCAAAGCAAACCTTGAGTGAAACGAGTCTAGTAGGAAAATAAGGAGGATGTGGAGTAGAAAGCAAGCTTGCCTTATCAGCTAGACATGTTGCCGGCAATGTCTTTTGTGATGGCGATTCATCTGGACAAAGCTGCTTCTGCTGCAGATTGATATACGATGTGATTATGTGGAAGCAGTTTGTACTGTAATATGGTGCTTTGCTTCATCATGCTGGGTGCCATGCCATTTCCCATTGTCATCATGCCTCTGCCAAGATAAACAGACCTCTTTAGTGTTTTCCACGATATTAGATAAACTGCTCCGATTTAACCAACAGGTTGAAACAGATGTCTGTTTTTGCAGCAAGGTAACTTCTATCCACCTTTCATGTTTTATTTCATACTATTGAAATATAATTTATTACAAAAGTAAGCTCAGTGGTCGCCAATCCATTGATCGCGATCGACCGGTAGATCTTTATCACTGTCTCAGTAACGTTAGCTCCCAAAAATAACAGAAAAATAAATACAAAAATACATTACATTGCGAGCTACTGGCGCAGTGATAAAGAAAAATACCGTACATCATGCCTGAGTCTGTTAAACAGGACGTTAACTGAGGCCAGAGACGCTGATGTACTGTAGCAGGCAGAGCAAGCCCACTGTTCACTATGAGCAAAATATAGGAAGAAATATATAAATGTATTACTAAAGGAACCTTACTGTCTTCAGAAAAGTTTTGATGACAATTGCATTTTCTCCTCCTCTTACCTTCATATAAAATAGTATTTATAAGCGCAGCGCTGCTTTGTTTACAGCAGTAAATGCTTTATCGCTGCTGCACCATAAACGCCACCTGCTGTCAGAGAGTGAATTTGAGTCTCATTCAGCCTGTCTGCTGTTTTTGTTCATTCAGATATGTTTTATGTAGCATCATTTCACAAAGCTAAAGTCAGGCTTTTCTGTTTTTGCTTTAAGTCTTGAAATTATACAATCTAATTCAAAAACAACTGCTCATGCAACATGCATGTAGCGTCTTTGTTTGGATCGTGATTAATATGTCCTTAAAATTCAAATGGCTACAGATAGTTATAAGGCCAGTTTGCATGCTATAGAGCAAATACACGGTAAATACATTTGCTTAAAAAGAGTGGCAACTAGATTTGTGCCGGTATTCGATTAATGCGATATATCACGGTAA